GAGCATCCAGCACCTTGCAGACGGACCGACCTCTCGGCAATCTCCAGGCACCTCTGCCTGCTCTCTGTCCCCATGTCCACCCTTCACAGTGTGCAGGATGTTTTGGGAGGGGATGGGCTGCTCTGACATCTCCCATTTTATCACAAGTAGTGGCTGGAAGACAGTCTGACAAGAAGGAATGGATCCATTCTGCCAAGCAGGGAGGGAGCCCTGCATCACTCTTCCTCATCGGTGGTGACAGCTGTGGTCCTGGCATCAACCTATCTGCCCTTGGCAAGAACCAGCAGCTGGCCAAATCTGGGATGCCCAGCTCAGGATGGGGGATCAGGCCCTGGGATGGGTCAGGAGTGGGTAGAACACACTTCCCAGGAGCTGGTGAGCCCTGAAAGCCATCAGGGACACCTGCAGTCCCTAGGGTTTATGCTCCTGCAGCGTCTTTCCGGATGGCCTGATGCAGTCATGGATGAATGCCAACTGGTACTGGTGACATGGGGCTGTTCCCTGCCTGCAACAGGTACCTTGTTGTGCAGGTGTGCTGGCATGGGCTGCCCCAGTGCACCCAGGACCTGACAGGCAGTGCGTGGCTCTGCTGGAAGAGGGGACTGGAGGACAGACACCAAAGCCAAGATGTCCATCCCCTACCCCTCAGCCCAGTGTCCCCCTTCTTGGGTTTGTCTCGGGGAAAACCAGGCAAATCCAGCCCAATCTGGCTCAGCCTGTCTGAAATAGCAGCCCTTTGCCCTGCACCCTCCCCTGCTGCTCCCCCGGGGTCCTGCAGAAAACCATGGAGCTGGGGGCCACGAGGTGCCCAGGTCCCTAGGGATGGGCCTGGAGGTCCTGCCTCACTGGTGGGGGCAGGGATGGCCCCAGGGGTGTCAGGAGCATTGGGAGGGCCCTGGGAGGGCTGGGAGATAGTCCAGGAATGTTATCAGCCCATCGTCTCACGGGACTGGGAAGAGCCATAAAGGGCTGTCCCCTTGCCCTGGACTCAGGCAGCATTCCAGGAGGAACCTGGAGTGGGCAGCATGGGACGGCCTCTTACTCCTGGAACTTACCTTCTCCTCTGCTTCCTCGCTCAGCTCACATCTGCAGCCTCTGACAGGGGACGTGTGGGACAGTGGGGTAAGAGCCCTTGGTGGGGGGTGCTGGGGCTGGTGTCACTTCCCTGGGGGTCCCCGGGGACCCTGTCGACTCCCATGGGATACCAGCAAAGGGGAACCCTCACAGCCACCTCAGGGTGGTCTGAGACCCCAACCTTGCCCCCAAAACAGGCCCTGTCCCTGCTCTCCCCATCCCCACTGCCCTGGTCACTGACTTTGGATCAAGTGACTCTGTAGTCGCAGCTGGCCGGAGTTGCCCGGCCATTACACCCTCACCATGGGGGCTGGTGCTTGGGCACCCCATCCCCTCTGCCAAGAGACACAAGGAGCTTCCCTGCCAAACTCTGCCTCAGTTTTCCTCTCTGCAGGTGGGTTCTGAGCAATACTGGTGTGCCAAAGGCCATGTGGATCCTCAAAGGATTCTTGGTCCCAGGGGGCTTTGAGCAGCTAAATTCACCTTGGTTGGAGATGCCCACGCTGGACCCCTGGGGTGTGCCCCTGAAGCCCCTCAGGGTGCCCAGTGCCCCTGCACACCCCCAGCTCTGCTCTCACCTCCAGATGCTGAGAAGTCCCCAAGCTACTGGAATAAAGGGGCCAGGAGGAGGCTGGAGTTGGCCCTGGCATTGCAGCCAGCAGCACAGCGGACCAAAAACATCATCCTCTTCATGGGCGACGGTGAGTGTCCTGGGTCCCTGCCAGGCCCTCAACAGCTGGTGGATGTGACTGATGAGAAGATGGGGCTGTTGCAGATCACAGGGCAGTGCCTGGGAAGGGCAGGACTGTCCCTGGTCCTGGCCCGTGCCACCCTGTGACTTGGACATGCCCACAGGCATGGGGCTGTCCACCATGTCGGCTGCTCGGATCTACAAGGGGCAGCTGGCTGGTGGCTCAGGCGAGGAGAGCGTGTTGGCCATGGAGACCTTTCCCCACATGGCCCTGGCCAAGGTGAGCAGGGCAGTGCTGGGGGGACATTCCTGCTGCCCCTGACCAAAACCCAATTGGACCCCTCTTGCTTCCAGACCTACACCATCGACCGTCAGGTGCCCGACAGTGCTGGCACAGGCACCGCCTACCTCTGTGGGGTGAAAGCCAATGCCAAGACTCTGGGGTTGAGTGGGGCAGCCACCTATGGAAAATGCCGCACCACCTTTGGCAATGAGGTGGACTCCATCCTGCACCGGGCCAGGCTGGCGGGTATGGGGCAGCAGGCAACCCTATCAGAGAGCCTGGCATGGCCACCCTGTGCTGTGCAAGGTTGGATGGGCTCCCTGTAAACCCTTGCCCACGCTGCAGGCAAGTCGGTGGGCATTGTGACGACCACGCGGGTGCAGCACGCGTCCCCCGGGGCAGCCTACGCCCACTCGGCCAGCCGGAGCTGGTACGCCGATGCCAACATGCCCAAGGAGGCACTGCGGGACGGCTGCAAGGACATCGCCTACCAGCTGGTGCACAACACGGACATCAACGTGAGCTGGGGAGCGGGCGCGGGAGGGAGGGGGCACCAGGAGTGTTGGGAGGGTCTGCTGAGCTCCCGGGCAGGTGATCCTGGGCGGCGGAAGGATGTACATGACCCCCAAGCGGACTCCGGACCCCGAGTACCCAGAGGACCCAGATCAGAATGGCACCAGGAAGGATGGCCGGGACTTGATTGCTGAATGGCTGAGTGCCAAGCAGGTAACGTGCCAGGACAGAGGGGATGTGACTCCGGGCGTGGGGCACATGCCATTGGCACTGGCTCTGTTCTCGCTGGAAGGGTGCCCGCTACGTCTGGGACAAGAAGGGCCTGGATGCGGTCGAAGATGACTCCGTGAGCCACCTTATGGGTAGGAGCATCACTGCCTGCACCACTGGCAATGCTTCCTCCTGTCCACCCCTCTCCAGAGGTGCTGACAGGGACACAAAGCAGCCCCAACATGGACCCTCCTCACCTTGTTCCCCCAGGCCTCTTTGAGCCCAAAGACATGAGGTACGAGCTGAACCGCAACACATCCACGGATCCCTCCATCGTGGAGATGACGGAAAAGGCCATCCGCATCCTGCGCAGGAACCCCAATGGCTTCTTCCTCTTTGTGGAAGATGAGTAGCTCCAGGCGGGCAGTGTGGCTGGGACTGGGGTGGGATGCGGGTCCTGGGAGCAGGTGGGCATCCAAGGGGATGAGGGTGATGGCTGCGTTCCCTGTGCAGGTGGCAGGATCGACCACGGCCACCACAGCGGGCGGGCCAAGCAGGCACTGATGGAGGCCGTCATGCTGGACCAGGCGGTGGCACGGGCAGGAGAGCTCACCTCCCCCTTGGACACCTTGACTGTGGTGACAGCAGATCACTCCCACGTCTTCACCTTTGGAGGCAACACACCACGTGGCAACTCCATCTTTGGTGGGTCTTGGGGAGGGGCAGTGAGCATCCCTCTTCTCACCTCAGCCTTCTGCTCCCACCTGAGGCTGATCTGGCCCAGGTGTGGAGCGAGGTGTGAGGTGACAATGTCTTTCCCTGTGTCAGGGCTGGCCCCCAAGAAAGCCAAGGACAAGCGAGCCTACACCAGCATCCTCTATGGCAATGGTCCTGGCTACAACATCCGCGATGGGGGCCGTCCAGCTGCCAGCCTCCCCGCTGCAGGTAGGAGTCTGCTGGGAATGGGGTGGAGGCACAGGGTGGCTGGGGACAGCATCCCTCTGGCACAGCCACTGGGGACACACAGGGTCCTGGTGCCACCACGAGGCTCAGGAGTCACTTGGGCAGGAATTGCTCTGACACCAGGGTAATGGGAGCTCCCCCCACCCTTGGGAAGCCTCAGCCCTATTTCTCCCCTCACCACTGCAGAGGACAAGGACTACAGGCAGCAGGCAGCCGTGCCCCTGGAGACGGAGACTCACAGTGGGGAGGACGTGGTGGTGCTGGCCCAGGGCCCCATGGCCCACCTCTTCCACGGGGTGCAGGAGCAGCACTACATTGCCCATGCCATGGCCTACGCCGCGTGCCTCGAGCCCTATGCCACAGAGCCTGGGTGCAGGGCAGCCCGCAGGGCCTCCCACAGCACCCAGTGCTCCCCACAGACCCTGCTCACCCTCCTGGCCCTCTGTGTGGCTGCCCTCATGGTGGGGGTCTGAGAGCCCCTGGCTGAGTCCCTCTGAGGGTCTTGGCAGCCAGATCACCACTGTGGCCAGAACCAAGGGATGCAATAAAACACATGTTGTTTGTCTTGGTCCACTGTGCAAAGGTTCATAATGGTGGTCACCTCCTGAGGTGCTGCCCTGTGCCTCAGTTTTCCCAGCTGGTCATGGCTCCTAGTTCCCCACTGGGACCAGCACTGAAGGCACTGGAGTGAAGGAGGTAAGGAAATGATGGTGAGGGGAGGTCATGTCCTCCCCAGCTTTGCCAGGCTAGGGCACAGTACACAAGGGTTGGTACATTCCTGGAATGGGGCTGTGCAAGGAGCAGAGTTTTAGTCCACATCCATGGATTTATTACTCAAGAAAGTCTGGGCAGAGAGCAGGGTGCTCAATGCACAAGTGACCCCAGGTGCTGCTGATACTGCTGTTGTCCCAGTTCCAGTGCCCAGTGCTGCCCTTGGCACCTGAGGACAGGGCATTCCGCTGTCTGACACTGCAGCTTTGTAGCTGGGGCAGCATTTCCTGACAAGAACTGCACATCCTTTTGTCCTGCATCTGTCTGCACCCCAAGCCCATCCACGCCCCAGCAGCCACATGCTGGTGTGCCAAGGAGGTGCCAGCAGCCCAACCCTGCGGCCTTTGTGCGAGCTGCCCAGCAGAACACTTGGCTTTTGGACACGTGCTGAACCTCTTCACACAGCCCGCAAGGGCTGGTCCCTGTCCAAAGTCCCTCCCTGGATCTGCTGGAGTTGTAGACACTGCCAGCGGCATCGGGCTGTCGGATCCCACCATGAAGGTCCTGGCATCCCTCACACTCTGCCTCTGGGCAGGGCTCAGCACTGCTGTCATCCCAGGTGGGGACAGGGATGGGGACAGGTGCCCCTGGCTGCGGGTGGTGTCTGGGGAAGCAGATCATCAGCCTGGCTGGCCACAGGGAGAGCTTGGGGAGGGAAGCAGGGGCTGCCCAGCTCTGCAAGGGTGAATAGGGTTTAACTTTGCTTTTCTGGAGTCCTTGAGCCAGTTTTTCCCTGGCTTTCTGCTTGTTTCTGCGCTGGAGGCTGGGCTAGGGGAAGCGCCTGTATCCTCTATCACCACCCAATTGCCATGGATTTGACCCCATCCCACCTGCCAGATAACTCCCCATCATGTCTGGTTTTGCTGCCCCCCTCCTTCTCTGCCTCAGAACCCCAGTCCAGGCAGTAGGTGCAAGCCTGCATGGTCTCCTCCCACCCCAAATAGCACCCTGAACCCCTTGGTCCACGTTAGAGAAGGCCCCAGCATGGGGATGCCCAGGGAATGAGTATCCCTGCTGGTGTGCCCCCGGGAGGCAGGTGCTGGTGAGCTGGGACTGACAGGTGTTTGCCCTGTCCTAGAGGAGGAGGAGAATCCATCCTTCTGGTACAAGCAGGCAGCTGCGGCCATTGACGCCTCCTTGAAAATCCAGCCCAGGATAGGCCAAGCCAAAAACCTCATTCTCTTCCTGGGGGATGGTGAGTCCTGTTGGCACCCCTGACAGGCAGGCTGGTATGGCCAGTGCTCTGCTGAGTGGGGTGTGGGGAGGGCACCTGGTCCAGAGGGTGACCAGGACCCTCTCTCCTCGCCCAGGGTTTGGGATCCCCACCATCACGGCCACTCGCATCCTCAAGGGGCAGCAGCAGGGAAAGCTGGGCCCTGAGACCCCTCTTGCACTGGATGCTTTCCCCTACGTGGCTCTCTCCAAGGTAAATCCCACCATGCTGGACAGGGGCCAGAGTGATCCCAGGCATGGGACCATGGTGATGCCCGTGGGGCTGCTGGCAGCACAAGGATGCACGTATGCAGCGTGTGGGGTCCCTGCTCATCCCACACTTGTCCCTGGGTGAGCAATGAGTGCAGCAGGGAGTGCTGGGGGGGCACCCCGCTGTGTGCCTCTGCCAACTGCCCCCTGCCCTGACCCCCTCTGTCCTTGGCAGACGTACAACGTGGACCGGCAGGTCCCTGACAGTGCGGGCACAGCCACAGCCTATCTCTGTGGGGTGAAGGGCAACTACCAGACAGTGGGGCTGAGCGCGGCCGCCCGCTACTCGCAGTGCAACACCACCGCGGGCAACGAGGTGATCTCGGTGCTGGAGCAAGCCCGCAAAGCTGGTAACAGGGGCTGCAGGGCTGGAGGGACCCCACAGGGACAAGGGACGTCACACTGGGGGCTTTCACCCATGAGCATCCCATAGCTGGATCATGGGAACCCTGTTACCCTTCATGGGGTCTGATGACTGGGGGGTTGGCAGGGAAGGCGGTGGGCATCGTGACGACGACGCGGGTGCAGCACGCGTCGCCCTCGGGCACCTACGCCCACGTGGTGAACCGTAACTGGTATGCGGACGCCAGCATGCCTGCGGAGGCACGGCAGGAGGGATGCAAGGACATCGCCTGGCAGCTGGTCCACAACGTCGACATCAATGTGAGTGCCCGTGCATGGGACGGGGGCAGCAGGGCCAGACACTCCCCCCCCCAGGACAGCCCCATTAACACTGCACCTGTCTCACCCCCTCCAGGTGATCCTGGGAGGTGGTCGAAAATACATGACCCCTGTGGAGACGCCAGACCCTGAGTATCCCACGAACAGCCAGCAGAATGGGATACGGGAGGATGGGATAAACCTTATTGACACATGGCTGGAGGCGCGGCCGGTGGGTGACACAGCAGGGACCGTCCTCTGCCCACTGCCCCTGGCACAGGTCCAGGCACCCACTAACCCCCCTGTGGGATTCGCCCACAGGGTGCCCGCTATGTCTGGAACAAGACAGAGATGCTGGCTGCTGCTGCCAACCCCAGTGTGAATTATCTGATGGGTAATAAATGTGCCATGTGCCGGGACTCAGCAGGCACCAGGACACATGAAGGCACTGAGGTTGTCTCCAACGTGTCCCCTCCCAGGTCTCTTTGAACCCGGGGACATGAAGTACAGCCTGGTGCGTAACACCACCCTGGACCCATCACTCACCGAGATGATGGAGGCGGCTATCACCATCCTGAGCAGGAACCCTGAAGGCTTCTACCTCTTTGTGGAAGATAAGTTGGGGCTGGTGCCGCTGGGGCTGGTGAGAGGGGGGGTCCCGTGTCCCAGGGTGGGGGTAGGAGCTGGGGGTGCTGCCCTCAGTCCCAGCCCACCGCGAGTGCCCATCTGCAGGCGGCAGGATCGACCACGGCCACCACGAAGGGGCAGCCCAGAAGGCACTGACAGAGGCAGTGGAGTTTGACCAGGCCATCGAGCGGGCAGGGGTCCTGACAGACGAGGCACAGACCCTCACCGTTGTCACCGCCGACCACTCGCACGTCTTCTCCTTCGGTGGCTACACCCTGCGTGGCTCCTCCATCTTCGGTGGGGCTCTGCCCTGTGCTGGGCACTGCTGGCTCTGCGGCACCCTGACTGTGCCCAGAGGGGTGATACAGGCTTTCCTTGGCTGATCCTTCCCTTCCATCACCCCCTCCCCAGGTCTGGCCCCCTCACTATCCACTGATGGGAAGAACTACACATCCATCCTCTATGGGAATGGGCCAGGCTACCCAGGCCCCGACCGGCCCGACATGGATCATGACACAGCCAGTGAGGGCACAGAGACCATGGTTGGGTGATGGGGTGGGGCTGGGAGCCATCACTGGCCCCCACTCATCCCCTTCTCTACTCTCTGCAGTGCAGTTCGAGTACCTGCAGCAGGCGGCCGTGCCCCTTGACTCAGAGACCCACGGTGGTGAGGACGTGGCCATTCTGGCCAAGGGCCCCATGGCCCACCTCTTCCATGGGGTGCAGGAGCAGACCTACGTGGCCCATGTCATGGCCTACGCCGCCTGCCTTGAGCCCTACACCGACTGCCACCAGCGGAACTCTGCCCCTGGCACCCATGCCACCACCCTGGCCCTGCTCCTGCCCATCCTCCTCCTGCCCCTCTTCCACTGATTCTGTGTCCCTAGGGCACCCAATGGGAGCTGCCAGACCTGTGTTCTCTCCCCTCCTCACGGTGTGGCACCTGCAGCTTTCTGAAGCACCTCTGGTCCGGATGCAGCAGCCAAAGGGTCACCAAACCCTGAGCGTGGGGCGGGTCCTACACCACCCGCACAGGGAGTGTTAAATAAACATGGGGTGTGACACTGGTGAGACAAGCATGTTAGCAGTGTGGGGGTGCTGTGTGGGCAGGGCTGGGGGTGCTGCCCACTGCTCCCATATACGAGCCATGGCCCCTTGCAACCGCCCGGCATATCCAGTGCTTTATTGACCAGAAACAGCAGCGAAAAATACAGCAGATGTCTGTGTTCCCAGGCAGGCTGGCATTGCCTGGCCCCCAGTTCTGCCACTCTCCCCCCCCCCACTGGCAGGGCTGGTGAGGGGCCAGGATGGGGCTGGTATGGGGGATGCCAGGGAGGGCACAGAGGAGGGGAGACTTTTGGCATGGGGCAGCCCCATCGTGACTCTGGATTGCTCTCCCTGCCTTGACGGATGCTGGGCTGGATGTGGTAGGGCTCAGTGAAGGGTTTGGGGTGGGTGGACAGAAGATGTGGTACAGGGTTGCCTGGACATGCCCTCATTCCTCCATGGGGACTGAGGGTCCCCCCAGTGCACAGGGCAGTGAGTAGGAAGGGGATGGGCAGGAGGCAGCTGCCCAA